TCATGGGATTTGAGCTAAATACCCTTATTTAAATAATGGATCCATACATTTACCAAGTTTTCAACGTCTTACAAATAGTGAAGCTACCGGAATCAAGCTCATTTATACCAGGTGTCAATTTGATCTAAACGTAATGTTAAAAGTTAAAACTTAAAAGCAGCAAACTGATTTGTATATAGGGTTGATTCCAGACGGAGACACTTTTTGTTCTTTTTATTTCAAAGGAGATAATTTGGTTTCTTAGGCATACTTTCTTTGTTTTTGATACAAAATATGATAAAAAATACCCCTCTAAGCACGCGCGTGGACAACTTTTCCGTAGACAAGTCAAAAACAATAATGCGCATGAACATAAATTGGTGGATTAAAACAATTGACATATAATAAAAAAAAAAGTAATCATGGACAAATTATTGTGGACATGATAATAGTTTTTGAGATTGTTATAAATAACTTATCCACAAATATTGTAATTATTCATTTTAACTACATATCTACCTATAATAACATGTACACAACCTTATATCCACAAGATTATGTAACAAAAATTGCAATAATTTACAAAATTAACAAAATTTTAATGTAGTATAAATGTTTATGGACATGTTATCTTAGACAACTATGTAGTTAAAATGAATTTTTGTTAATTTTGTAATCGGTGTCCACACAGATAACATAATTTATGATCATACAAATTAAATACTTCAATAACATAACATAATAGAATAGAGAAGATTCATATGAAACATATTACGACTATTTCACAATTTGGGATCATATATAAAAATTAGAATAAAAAAGATTCATGTGTAACATGTTATATGTATTTTGCATTGTCAAATTGTTTTGATAACAGAAGGATCAAAACAACTAAAATCACATAATCACAAAGAACCGACTATAGAGTAAACAATAATTTTTAAAAAAAAATTTCAAAAGGGGACCACTTCGCTGCAAGCGAAATCATCGGAGTAATTGGCGAAGGAGTAATCAGGCCATGAGTCTTTGAGAAGCTTCAACAGTTTATGTGCTTTCTTCTTCGCTCTTTCCGTACACTCACTCCGCACCATCAACAATAACTGTACCACCACTCCCGCCGTCGCCGCCTCTTCTCTCCACCATTCCTCCGCCGTAAAAATCGCCATGGATTCTGTTTCAAGGATTGTCATCTTCTTAGAGAGAAAAGAAAAGAGCAAATTGGAGAAATCCAGATCACGATTCGACAAACCCAGAAAAGAGAAAATAAAAGAGCAAATTGGAGAAAATTCCAGAAATTGAAGGAAACCCAAATCCAAAACAACACTTTTTCCTCTGGACAT